TTGTAATTTTGCAAAACATTTGTTGTCAATTTGTGACGCTTGTCATCGATGTCGAGATAAGAAATGTAAAATTTGCTTCTTTGAATGCTAGTTTACACTGTATAGTAGCACCACATGCAGCACATATGGGAATTAACGCTAAAATCTTTTTATATTATCGCAGTAGATGTCGGATTTTTCTTTTTTTTCAAATGTGTATTTAAGTAATCTTAAAAATCCTCCAATTCCGATTCAAATCATATTATGAACGCGGTCTTGGAGGGGGTGAAAGGTTGGCAGGGATCAAGGTCATGACCACAGCATGGGGTGAAAACAATCAGGCCTCAGTGAGCAGACGGCAGAGACGTGAGGCCGGGGTCTACTGAGGTTGGGGGTCTTACCACAGAAATCACTGACCTTGTTACTTTCAGAAATCTGGACTCTCTGGCAGTTGTCCAAGACATTTTACATCTTCAGTTGTCTGCGTGTCTGAATAATAGTTTTGACTAATATTTTCTCCATCAGCTGCAGTCACGATGCCGATCGCCGCTGTGCATAAATTTGCATGTTAATCGGCGCAGCTGTTCGCTAATTCGAAGTGTCTCCTGTGCTGATTGGTCGGATCATTTATTTTATGATTATGGGGAAACGTGTGTAAAATCAGCCTCGGATTTGACGCCGTTAGATCTCTTCTCTGTTTATTGTGATGAAATGTCTGTTAACTTAAGTACTTCTGTTTCGGTTAGTAACTGCTTGCAATTCCCGGTATCTCTCTCAACGGTGTCTAAAAGTGTGTAAATCATTTCTGGGCCTCTTGGATGATGTTTCTGTTTAATTGGTGACTGGAAGCACAAAATGGCAATTGTAGAACGTTTCTTGGGATGTTGAACCTGATGTTGAGAATTCATGCTTCGTCTATTTTCTATTATTTTCACCTCATTGTAAAATCTGTCTTTTTGATAAACCGTGTCCCACTGGCGACCAAGCTGCTAAACTTAGGTGGGGCATACAAACCAAATGCCACCAGACCAGACTGTGGCTCTTTCATGACTCTGAAAAAGACCTCAGAGTTGCAAGAAGTGTCGTCAGATGACCTTCTTGGTAAAACGTCGATATGCATTTTCCATTCTAGATGGCAAACGCTGAGTTCTGTGACCTGAATGTATGTTAAAATGCTTATAGGTAGAGGGGGGGATAGAAGCTGGAGAGAAGACGAATCTTGCCAGGACACAATCAATTTTAAATTAAAACTCTAAATCAATCCGTTTTTATCTCAATGCACACGGGCTGATTGTAAATACGGGTTTGGTATCGATCCCTTCTTATTCCATTCAGTACATATTATGGACAACATCCCTTCCAGTGTAATAATACAGTATTAGAAATTAGAAAAGCTATCAGACAAAGCACACATCAACCCCCCCCGCCGACCCATCTGCAGCAGCTCTAATCCCGAACCCGGCACAGGGATGTGGTGAACGCTGGTGTATAGTTCACAGATTGGGACGTTTTGATCCACAGATGCACTCTGATTGTTGACTTTCAGATCCATTGGCAGAGGACTCGGCTTACACCATATTTTCATAAATGATTCTCTTAATCCGTCTGACTTTTGACCTCCACCTAGATTCATCACCGCAGCAAACCTATTGGATTGAGTACGGAGGAAAGTCATTTCTGCAGTTTGTGGCTGAAGCCCGGGAGGCAGGTCACACAGTAATGGGGCACAAGTGGAGACGGTGCACGGCAGTTATAAAAATAACATCAATTTGCAATTTCTTCTGTGTGAGTGTTTGAGTTTGTCTGTGTTTACAAAGCCTTGCATTTACTGTACTTGAGTCCAGATCTCAAGTGTACAGCCTGGCAGACAAGAGGACATTTCCTCATAAAACACTCTCATGGTTTCTATTTTTCCACCGAGCTTTTCCACGTCTTCCTGACCAGAAAGCTGAACACTACATCAGTAGTTTCATGGAGTCTGCGTATCAGGTGAAAAGTGTCCATTTGCACACTGGTGTCTGATTGCCCCGTAGAACCCATCGTTGGTTCTGCAGAATACATTTATTGTTGATTATACGTGCAAATGAGCGACCTTGACGGAGCTTCATGCAGCTGCAATGCTTTGGTCTTTGAACATTTTATAGAAAAGATATTTTTGAAAGAATAGCTCATTTATTGTTATTTTTTCTTGAATAACTCTATAGATGGTTGGTTGTTATCGCCTCATTTTTTTAGTAGAATTAGTAGAATTGCCAAATATTTCTATTTTCAGAATTTGTGTACAATTTACAAGTGTTGGAACACCTCTGCTAAAAAAGAAAATGCATGCAATGGGAGTTTTTTGCCTGCAGGTTCAAAAGCTTTAACAGTATGTATATTGTATATGTATGTGTATGTGTATATCGGAGTGGATAAATACGTGTCAGTATACTGTAGATAAAGGGATCATGTTGATGGTTGCACAAAAATAAAACCATTTGCATGCATTCTACTGAAAGTTGTGCTAAAAGCTAATAGCTGTTCTTGATGAACATCTCAGTTACCTTAACTACTTCTGCTACTGAAGTAAATTGGAAGAAATTTGCAGTGATTTCTGCAGCATGTGCACAACTTTTGTATTGACTTGGTGTCAGTTTTGATGCAACTGAAGGGTTTCCCCAATTTAGAGGACCTGCAGCGTGTACTGTTAAGTATTGGTGACTTTGTTTTGTGCCAACTTGTGTCAAACAAGTTTCTGCTGCGTCATACCTGCAGAAAACTTCCGTGCCATCCATCACGTAACACTGTCCTCCATTGAAGCAGTAGTTGGGCAGCATGTCGCAGGGAGAGCGGCAGCTTCCGTTTACCAGCTGGTAGCCCACACGACATCCGTTAGGGGAGTCCGCTGGAGGTGCTGCCACGGGGACGTTTGGTACTGGAGGTCCCACACCAGGGAGCGCTGCCCCAGGGTTGAAGGAGCCAGACCCTGGGACTCGGGGCCTGGAGCGAGCAGGAGGCCCGGGGGCCAGTCGGAGGTCTTCGTCGGTCTCGTAAGCATCAGTCGTGGTGCTGTAGGTGTACTCATCAGCGGTGGGGGACACACCGTCCTCATAGGGCGTAAGGTAGTCGTAGTTCTCTGGCATCGCCCAGGAGGTCGCGTCGCCGCCTTGCAGCTCATGAGCCAGTGATGAAGGAGAGGGCGGGGCTAGGTCTAGGCCACGCCCACGAGAGGAGGGGTCGAAGAAGTCCACGTGGAGGACGTCGGGGTTGGACGGGTTAGTGGCAGGCGAGGGCGGGGCAGTGGTGGTGAAAAGGCGGTCCAGGTCAAACACGGCGGTATCCTTGGCATGGATCCAAGGTGGGTCGGTGTGCGGCAGACGCTCTTCCTCCTCCTCCTCCTCCTCCCCCTCCACGGCTTCCTGTTGGCGTGGGTTGCTGGGCAACAGGAGCTCTGTCTCAGCAGAATCGGGGCTAAGTTGGGGCGGAGCGGCCACGCCTACCTCCTCCACCGTTGGGACCACCGTTTCACCGAACATGCCGCTGCTCTGCTCCTCCTCCTCGCCGGCGCGGGGGATTCGGCCCGCCCTCGGGGTCACAGTGTCGATTGTGTCAGAAGCTGCCGAGCTGCTCATCCCGGTTACCGTGGCGATGACCTCATTCACCTTGACTGGCCCTTCCTCCTCGTTAAGCAGGAAAGTGACATTGGCCGTGTTGTCCGGCTCAGTGGCGTTGGTCCCAACAACATTTCCTACAAACACACAAAAAAACAGTTTCTTAGAATAAACATAAAGAGGTCAGAGTTTGCTTTAAAGCTTTCAGAGGAAAACAGTGTTTTTAAAATCCATCCCAAAACAGCTGGACTCTGCATTAAAGTGTTAGAACTGAAAACCTTCGGCCAAGCCTCAAGGACTAATGGTCAGACTCTGAGCAAAGATGCATGAAAACTCTCACTGTTGCCTGACTGAGGGCGAAAAAAACAGTCTGTGGTGAGGGAACTGCAGTGAATTTAATGAGGTGAAAATGGTTTCACTCTAGAAAAAGGACACGGTTTGTATTGATCAGCGTAGCAAAAACTTCAAGCCCTCAAATGGCCCTGTTACCGGAGTGCAGGGCTCGTTAGGCAGATTTGCAGCACCAATACTGTGTGATGCTGACTCAGACAAAGTGTAATATCAGCGTTGACTGAATCCCGGTTGGAATCGCCCTGAAAATTTGAATAAATAAAAAAATAAAACAAGAGTAAACAAGACATTTCTGCATGTTGCATTATATTTGTACTATAAACTCTACTCAGTGCCACCAGACGTCAAAGAGCCCAAAAAGACCCTGATTCACTGGTTGTCTGTTGTTTTTCAATCACTGTGCAAAACTGCTTAAATACAATATTAATCATTCTCAGAGTGGCTCCATATCCACATGCTAACTAACTAAAGCGGTGTTTAATCAAATTATAACAACAGGGACTAAACATTAAATTTCTGCCTATGAACCCCCAACAGGTAAATCCAGCTCAGGCCATTAAAGATGAGTGATTTGGAGCAGAAACTGTCGTTTCCTTTAGTGTGATCTGCACCAGTGGGTGGGACACTGGGGGGTCCACCCGTTATTGAATTACTTTGATACTGATACTTAGATAAATTATGATTCTCAACTCCTAAAACGGCAATGAAAGACTTTTAAAAAATCATTTCTAGGCACATTCGAGAACTTTTATTTGCTACAGACATCTAAAACAATACAATCCACAATCTAAAACTACATGCATCATGTCTGCATGTGCAGACCTGATTGTAATGACTCTGATAAAGAGAATTTTGCACTTCTATATAAGACTGGAACTAAAGGGGTGAACACACTGACAGAGACCAGCAGTGATGTGGCAACCAGAGAATGTTAATGAAGTTCTGTGACATAAACTGAGCAGGTACCGAATTAAACTAATCTCAGCTTTACAGCAACATGATTGAGGCAACTACAGCCAAAGATACACATCAAAATGGAACGACAGCTCATCAACGTGGTCCCCAACGAAACCCAATCGTATAACTGCATTCACAACAACTCATATCGTTTAGGATATTAGAAAAAGTTAAGGTTTAAATCAATAAACTGCATTATTAGGTCAGCCAGTTTCACTCCGAAACATGAGGCTGGAAATATACAACAGAGTCACCGAGGCAACCAGAGCCAGAAATGTTCTCGAGCACAAAGTGATGAAGCTAATGTAGATGAGACTGAAGGGTTCTGAAGAACCTTTAAAGCCTCCGTTAGATTAACTGCTGATAAACAGACCAAACCAGCAGCCAGACTCCAATAACTAACATCTCGCTGCTTGCTGAACACCTGCACCTGCACCTGTCACCTTACACAGGATGTTTTTTGCTTCTTAACGTGTTTTGCAGGAATAAAACTGCTTGCGAAACATGTACACAGCATCAAACTGCGGAAAAAAAAAGTCGCTTTTGTGCAGCCGGCAGTAGAAAATATGCTGATCTCACACAAACCATGACATCAGAACCATTACTATGAAATATTCAACCATCAACGGGTTCAAAATAAACCGGTCGGGAACAGAGCGGTGAAAACATCCCTTTTTTTTTTGTAGGACCTGCTCCTCTAAATTCACTCAGATGGATCTCAGTCGTACCAACTCAACGTATCCACTGTGCATGTCACTGTGAAAGTACCTCCCAAACAAAAGCCCGATCGACTGAAAACTGCAAATATTAGCCGAGAATACCAGAAGAAAACGCAACATCTGCTGCTGTTTGTTTGACTGTAAATATAAACGTACAATCACAATCTGGCACAGCTCAGTCTTTCCAAAAACATTTCCAGGCCCGGCCGCACACACCAGTGGTCCGCTGCCACACAATGACTCTGCACGCTAAACTCTTCTGGCATTACAGGACGAACAAAGCGGGCTCAAGGAGTCTGGCGGGCGAAACAAATTAAAACGAGACGTGATTGGCTGTATACTTATCCTCCGGTCGATTACTTCATCCGAAGGCGGCTCGTTGAGTCATGCAGAAAGCTGCTTTGCGGTCGCTCCCCCCTTTGGATTAAAGGAATAATTCACTAATGTACTTGAATGGCGAGGAGCTGGGATTACGGATTACAGGGCTGGAGAGGGGAGGGATTTGAGGGGTGCGCCCTGCAGGGGGGGAGGTGATGATTTTGGGGAGGCTCAGACGGGACAACGTCTCGACAATTGTAGGAAAGCTGAAGACTGAATATGCGGAGAAGACAGTGGAGAGACTGATTGGTGGTGGCTGCAACAACTTTCCTTCTGAATACGGTGAGTCTGAGCTGAAGGAAAGTCCACGATAACACCAGCAGCGTCTAACTAACTTCTGAATAACAGCAACAACATCTCCTAAGATAATAAAATGTATTTGTCCTGCTGACAAGCATTGTCTGGAGGAGGAGGAGGAGACAGTTATGGCATCATACAAGAGAAATTAAGCTTGTTTCCAGAACTCAGACAACCCACAAATCGACAGCTTTTTTTTCACAGTCTACCAGGTGAAGATGAACTGGGATGGCAGATCAGCCATTTCTAAACCCTTAAGGTTAACATCCACAGACATTCTCACTGAATCCTCCAACACAGACAATGAGCTTCCTATAAGAAGCTACAACTATGAAGCCTACAAATCTCCTCTGGTATAACAATCTAGACACCCAGTGCTGGATGCTGTGGTGTTTTTTTTCGTCCAGTTTTCTCCAGAAATGCTTGCAGCAGTTGTCACGACAATCTCCCCTCCATGAGTTCTGTGTTCTGTGGGAATCCCTCTGCTCCCACATTGATTGATCACAGAGATGCCTGTAGCGATGGAGCTGCTCACAGACTCGTGCCTCCAGCTCGTCCATTTTGCAAATGCACTAACCGCACATGCCGGGCCACAACAATCGGTTAGCGTGCGACCATTCAAAGCAGCACCATAGCTCGCTGCATGTCAGCGGTGCTGACACAGACCCAACAGTGTACAAGGGTGACAACTGTGAGCGTAAACTCTGCTCCCCAAAATGCCTCAGCAATGATGAGAGTTGCCACCCAACCAGCTCTATGTCACGGGGTGGACACGAGATCTGTGTGGGTAAGTGTAGCTCAGGTCAAAAAGAGTCTGAAAGAATCTATACTTCCAATAGGTCAATCACAGGCATGTTCTAACATGCAACTATCTGGGTCATAACATGTCATTTGCTCTTGCTTACTCCACTCCTACAAATCAGCATAACAACTAAGACTCGAATACACAACTTGGCTAACTTGGCTGCTACTAACTAGTTGAGTTGCGAATGGTGCTCAATACAAAAGTCCCATTGGGAAACTGTCATTTTTTTAGGCACTTGGTGGTAGAGGTCTAAGTAAATGTAATGAAAGATAAAATGGCATTAGAAGAACAAACTACTGTGAAAAAATACACAATCATCTTGTGGTGCTAAGCCCAGGATGCAGTGATGGTGCCCCGAAGCAAATGTTACAAACATGTTCTTTGGAGTCTTTATAAGCATCCAATAAAAGAACTAAGTAGGGTTTCCTTATTGTGTGATTCAGACTTTCATCAAATCTTGCTATTTTTTCTTCAGTGTGTTTTCTAAGAGGCACATCAGGCTGACTACATAGACTATATCTGTTATCGGACAATTTTTGAGGAGAAATTAATTGAATAAATTCTTTTAAATTCCAAGTGCTTCTACTTCAGCTGGTACGAGATGCATTTAGACAAACACTTAAAGACTAATGGTGCCAGTCAAAGACATCTTCCCCTGATGAAGACAGTAAAGTTGCTCATTAAGTTAACTGCCAGTCGCTGTCGTCACCTCAGGAAAAGGAACGGACAACATTATTCACAGTTGGTGTTTAATAAGCACTAAAAGGTCCCTCTTCATGACACATTTATCTGCAGAGGAATCGTATCTACTTATCTTTAATAATGAAAAGACGGAACACCCTCAGCCTCGTGCTTTAAAATTCAGCCTGGCCACATTATTCATTCATCATCTGCACTTACAAAAAGGCTTCATGCCACATTTATGTGCCCTGTTTCGGACTTACACACATTCATGTCACAGAGGTTGGGGGTTCAATTCCCTTCCATGATCCCCCTGCAGTGACTAAATGCGTGCACTCTTGGTCCTGTAAGGAGCTTTGGTTAACAGCGTCCACCAAATGGCATATGCGAGGATATCTGTGAGGGTCTTTGCTGATTGATGTTAAGCTTCCGGGGTTTTAATCTCTAAATGTCTCCTGAGCACTCAGTGAGTCTCCATTTACACAAGTTGATTATTTATCACAACCTCCAGCAAAGTTTTAGATGGTGGCAAAGAAAAGCAGGCACTGAGAATTTACATTTTTGCTTTTATTTACGCAGATCCAACTAAGTGAACTCTAGAAACAGGAAGAAAACGGCTAAGTTCAAATTTGACAACACACAGCTGGATGTAGTTGAAGATTATATGAATGTTGGTCGAGTTTTTTTTTTCTTTTTTTATCATACTAATTACTTTATGAATATTATTATATATCTGAGCTGTAGTTGAAGTAAAGTACTGCTCAAAAAAATGGCATTTATCTTCTTGCTTTGGAGATGGCAGCTTAGTTTTGGGGAATTTTATCAACTTGAAGTTACTCTCTGTCCCTTTAAACTGGTATTTGTATTTCAAATTAGGTTCACTACTCCTTTGGCATTATGAGTCTGACATCGTAATGTACACATTTTTAAAAAACTAATCCAAAAACAG